GGCCGGCTTTCCCAGCAGCTGCCTCTGGCAGGGTCTCGGCATGTGGGCAGTGTAGGGAAGCCCTGCCTACTCAGCCAGAGAGTACTGCATGGGGACAGTACTAGAGCTGGAGGGGCCCTGACCCAGAGGACTGGACACCCAGAGCCTGTGACCATGTGTTGGTCACTGTTCTTACCCTGGGGCCCTGTGGGGTCACCTCCTCCAGGGCACTGGCCGACCCACTCCCATCAGTCTGTCCTGGGGTCTGTTGCTCATGCTTGAAGGGTGATGGCAAGTCTCCCTGAGATGTGGAAGGGCACTTGGAGGACAAGGGTCTGCCTCCAGGGTGCAGAGGCATCTGCTCATCCTTTGTGGACCCCCATCCTCAGCCACTCCCCCTGCAGCAGCTCGGAACGCTGGTCAGACTCGAGGACCCCGTGGCCTTGCAGCCTCTGTGACGTCATGACTCCAGTCGTGTCTGTGATCAGGGCCCACAGGGCCCCGGGTCCTTGTCCTGGCCACTGAGCACCTGAGCCTCTGCTTCCTCCTGCAGTCCTCATGCCCTTGCTCGAGTACTGCAGTGTGCGGCCCGATGCCACCGTCTCCAATCACCGCTTCTTTGGACCAGATGCTGAGATAAGGTAGAGCCTTGGTGCCCTGCTGGAATAACTCCTGGTGGGCATCCTCATCGACTCCTGGGGGCCCTCGCTTACCCTCAGGGCAGTGGAGGGGTGGCAGGTGCGCTCTGTACCGCAGGGTCAGGGTGTGTGTGTGGCTCTGTCTCCTGGAAACCTGCTTCAGCCTGGTGGCAATCTCGGAGACAGGAAACCCCTGGGGATGTTGGTTACTGTCCCCTAAGGAAGGCCTGGAGTCTGTGTCCACATATGGGTCACCTTACGTCTGAGGAGAAACACTGGTGGGTCAAGTAAATGGCCTCTGGCCTAAGACATGAGGTTCACGAGATGCCTTTTGACAGGAGTGGGCAGCAGGGCTTAAGGTCAGACAGCATGACCCACAGGCACTGGCTGTGGGCAGAGGGGCTCTCGTTGCTGGTATGTTCCACGTTCTGCATTGGCACATATCACCATTTTCATGTTTCTCATAAAAAAGACAGAGGAGACAGTCAGGTGTAGTGGCACAGCCTATGATGCCAGCAACTCTGGAGGCTGAGGAGGGGGATCCAGCCTCAACAACTCAGCGAGACCCTGTCTCAAAGGAAAAACTAAAGGGGGCTGGAGTTGTGGTTCAGTGGTGGAGCACTTGCCTTGAACTTGTGAGGCACTGGGTTGGATCCTCAGCACCACATAAAAATAATAATAAAATAAAGATATGAAAAATAAAAAGGCTGGGGATGTGGCTTAGTGGTAAAGTACCCCTGGGTTCAACCCCCAGTACCAGAAATAAACAGAAAACATAAATGAAAGAAAAACATGTTATGGGGGTCCACCCCAGAATGCCCGTCCCCTAGCCGGCCTTGGTCCTCTGCACTTGCTCTCTGCAGACACACAAGTACACTGAGCAACTCAGTCAGCTGAGGAGCACAGACGGCAGACCTGTATGCCCTCCCTTCAGGAGGTGGACTGTCCCTCAGTAGCTGAGACACAGCCTCTTTTAGCTCCAGAAGGTCCTGCTGGGGGGTCTGCTCACAGGCTTTGCTCCCACAGTCAGGCAACACCCTGACCCAGGCTTTGCTCCCAAAGCCAGCCCCCATTCTGCACCCTGACCTTGCTCCCACAGCCAGCCCCCTGCCCTGACCATGGCCTTGCTCCACCCACCTCCCCATCCCTGACCTTGGCCTTGCTCCACCCAGCTCCCCATCCC